CTTGGTGCTGTCTTGAGGCCCCGGAAGGTTATCGAAGGGTTTTGGACTCTGGGCTGCCTCCTTGGGAGGCTGCGTGGCCATTCGGAGTCGTTTTGGAGCAGTCTTGGAGCCTCTAGGCGCATCTTGGGAACCGTGTGGAGCCTTCTTGGGCCATGTTGAGCTATCTTGGCGGTCCTCTTGGGCTTTCTCAGGCCCTCCTAGAGCCATCTTGGGCCATCTTGGACGCTCCAACGCCTCGCGGGACCTCCCCTCCAGGTCAGGGCAGGGGTCGGGGGAGGGGTCAAGACACCCTACTAAGTCCTAGATAGCAGGTCGTTTAGCTCACTCTCAGCCGCCCCCCAAAACGTAAGTTACACCCGAGCGTCAGCATGTCCAGCGGTCGTCTTTGGTTGGGCAGCTACTGGGAACCAGAACCGGGCCCATGTGCGCGACGCTGGGGCGAGGTGCGCCACGCGTGCCAGGCACCCTTGGGGCCCGAGCGTGCCAGGCACGCCTGGTGCGCCAGATGCGCCACGTGCCTCTGCGTGCGCCAGGTGTGCTGCGTACCCCAGCCGCGACAGGTGCGCCACGTTCGAAGCACGTGCAGAGTGTGCCAGGTGCGCCTGCGCACGTGACAGCACCCATCGGGAAACATGTCGGGCCCCACCATCCATGTCTAAAACTAATGCCCATTATTGTGCCTGGTGGGCCTGTGCGCAGCAGGCCATGCGCCACGACCCCGCCGTCCCTGTCAGAAACCACTTGACCGTGATCGCGGGGTGGCCGCACGTGGTCCAGATTTCATCGCGGGAGGCATTTTTTGTCAGGGAAGGTCGCCCTGCGCACAGCATGTAATATGCTGGTACCCCCGCCGTCCCTGTTTAAAACAAAACATACAACGTTCTCGCGGCCCCACGAACATGACTCCAGACCCTGCCCCACCATGTATTTTGTATGGTTTTACCTGGATGGGGGGTGGGGGGCGCATCGGGCTGGTTGCGCATGCTCCGAATTTGGAGGCAGAGTGTGTATTCGTATTGGTTTTGGTTGACAAAGATGGTTGTGGGTGTGTGATCGTGCGGTCCTCATTGTCCTTCTTTCTGGCTGGCTGCAGGTCGCCGGGTGGAAGGGGTGTAATCAATAGGGAGCAGTGGCAAACCCCTCCCCGCAGGGGAAGGGGGAGGGGTTGGAAGAGAAGCCGCCGTAGACCACCTACGCATAGAGGGCTGGTCGGATTCGAAACCCACACCTACTTGCAATGGGCTGGAATTTTGAAGACCATGCTCGGGCGTTTTTTTATGTTTGCTGATTGACAGTTCTTCTAGAGATCTGCAGATCGCGAACATATCGTCCACAGCATTTCCATCTGCGTAAAGATGCTGCAGGAGAGGGTGATAATCATGATGATGATGATGATGATGATGATGATGATGATGATGATGATGATGAGGAGGAGGAGGAGGAGGAGGAAGAAGATTATGATGCTTCTGCTGCTGCTGCTGCTGCTGCTGCTGATGATGATGATGATGATGATGATGATGATGGTGATGGTGATGGTGATGGTGATGGTGATGCTTATGATGCTGATGATGGTGATGATGCTGCTGCTGATGATGATAATGCTGATGCTGATGCTGATGTTGAGGATGCTGCTGCTGATGCTGCTGCTGATGCTGCTGATTATGATGATGATGATGATGCTGATGATGAGGATGCTGATGATGCTGATGATGATGAGGATGCTGATGATGGTGATGCTGATGATGATGATGATGTTGATGTTGATGCTGATGTGCTGATGATGTGCTGCTGCTGATGATGATGATGCTGATGATGATGTGCTGATGATGATGCTGCTGTGCTGTATGATGATGATGATGCTGAGTGATGATGATGATGAGGAGGAGGAGGAGGAGGAGGAGGAGAGGAGGGGGAGGGGAGGAGGACAAGCTAGGTGCGCTCGCGCCATGTCTGACATCCTACCCCTCCCTCCCATCCCTTACCATGGCGCAGATCCCCTCTCTACTCGCACAGTCGGATGTCGAGCAGGGCAATGATCCCGAAAGGGTACGCGATGCATTGTAGAGCACGGCATGGCATGGCGTAGAAGAGCACCGCAAAGCGTAGTATCAACCTAGCATTGCTTTGCATGCCGTGGCATGGCACGGGAAATGACGCCAGCGCTGCAGCGGGAGCACGAGTCGAAACGAGCGGAAGCGCGGAAATGAGGCCAGCGCTGCAGCGGGAGCACGATTCGGAACGAGCGGAAGCACGAAAATGAGGCCAGCGCTGCAGCGGGAGCACGATTCGGAACGAGCGGGGCCCGAAAATGAGGCCAGCGCCTCAGCGAGAGCATTTTTTTGGAAACAAATGCAGGCGAAAACCCAACTCCGGGGAAACCTTTGTGTAAAAAACAGTACGCGGGGGGGGTCGGCCACTTTCAAACCGTCATCAGGGGAAGAGGGAGAGTAGTATTCATATTGAGTAATTGTGGAGGAGGAGGAGGAGGAGGAGAGGAGGAGGAGGAGGAGGAGGAGGAGGAGGAGGAGGAGGAGGAGGAGGAAGATGAGGCGGAGGGGAGGGGAGGAGGAGGAGGAGGGGGAGGGGGAGGAGGCAGAGGAGGAGGAGGAGGAGGAGGAGGAGGAGGAGGAGGAGGAGAAGGAGGAGGGAGGCAGGAGGAGGAGGAGGAGGAGGAGGAGGAGGAGGAGGAGGAGGAGGGAGGAGGAGGAGGAGGAGGAGGAGAAGGGAGGAGGAGGAGGAGGAGGAAGGAGGAGCAGGAGGAGGAGGAGGAGGAGGAGAGGAGGAGGAGGAGTAGGAGGAGGGAGGAGGAGGAGGAGGAGGAGGTGGAGGAGGAGGAGGAGGAGCAGGAGCAGGAGGAGGAGGAGGAGGAGAAGAGAGGAGGACGAGGCGGACGAGGAGGAGGAGGAGGAGGAGGAGGAGGAGGAGGAGGAGGAGGAGGAGGAACAAGGAGGAGGAGGAGGAGTGGAGGAGGAGGAGCAGGAGGAGGAGGAGGAGGAGGAGGAGAGGAGGAGCAGGAGGAGGAGAGGAGGAGGAGGAGGAGGAGGAGGAGGAGGAGGAGGAGGAGGAGGAAGAGGAGGAGGAGGAGCAGGAGACCACAGCCTGCACGTCTCGTGTGACATCCCGCATACTCCACAATCCGCTGCCCTTTGTTTTGCAAGTTTTTTTCAGAAACGGCCACTAATTGCAAGGACCTGTCGGGCGTCCTGAGGCCCTCTTTCTTGGGGCCGTCGGGGGCCGTTTCGGGAATCCATAGGGACCGTCTTAGTAAGCCTTGGAGCACGGGGCTTCCCTGGAGGCCCTCCTGGGCCTGCTTGGCACCCTCGGGGGTTCCAAGATAGGCCTCGCCAGGCATACGGAGAAAATCCGAAGAGGACCGCAAAACGGTCAAGAATCAGCGCTTGCGAAATTCCCTTCCCCGTCCCCCCTCTCTCCATCGTCTCATCCTTTTCGATCTCCTCTTTCTCCCCATCGTTGTCTTGATTCTCTCCCTCCTCCTCCTTCTGCTTGTCAAACACAGGTATTTTTACGTTCAGCAAGCAATGCCAGCAGGCGGCAATAACATCTAAGTAATACCAAATGATCGGCCAATGTGGCGTCAGGGTAGCGAATCAACTTCCAGAAGCGACATGTTGCCGGAGGCAGGTTCGAAGCCAAACGAAGTATTCCAGACTTTGTTCCATGTGTGTTAGCTGTACCATTTCTAGACTATATCATGGCCCAAGAGGGCCCCAACACTGCGCAATATGACCTGTCTTCCAGGCGGCACAAGGCGGCCCAAAGGCGCCCAAGATGCCACCCGAGGCCCCAAGGAGGCCCCCAAGCCGCCCCGTGGGGCCCCACGGGGACCCCGAAGAGGGCTGCCGTGCCATTCTGCCGTGCCAGTCTGCGGCGCCGGCTTGTCCTGCTGACCAGCATGGCAGACCGGCAGGGCAGGGGAGCGCCGCAAACCAGCACGGCAGACCCTGTGTAATCGCGCCCCGCTGAGGGCTCGAAGAGGCCCCCACGAAGACCCGCAACACCTAGACTTTACGCGTTCCGGGCGCGCCCCCTTCGAGCCGAGAGGGATCCTCCAAGATGGCCCCGAGACGGCCCAGAAGGGCCCCAAGAGCGTCCACGAGGGCCCCCAGAGCGTCCCTGGAGACCCCCAAGATGTTCAATAATGGCCTAAGACAATCCAGATATAGTTTCAAGGCCGCGAAAGAGGCCACCAAGACGCCCCAACAGGGCCCCCTCAAAGGGCCTCCAGTAGAGTAGCACGGGAGACGAGCACGGCTGATCACTACGGCAGACCATCTGTTGTCGCGTACCCAGCGATGCCTCCAAGAAGCCACCAAGAAGCTGCGCAACGCCCAGGTTTAACGCGATCTGGACGTGCATCCTGCGAAGCGAAAGGAATAGACTTCCAGAAGTGACGTGTTGCTGGAGGCAGATTTGCCAGAAGGCCGATTCGCCATGCTTATCTTTCAACCTTAAATGCCACCACCTAAGTGCTACTGTGTATTGCTAAACCGCCTCCTTTAGTTCCCACATGCTCCACGCCGCTTCGTCCGACCTCCACGTGGAGGTCCCTGCTGGGCTTCCGAATCGGGTGACAAACATTGGGTCGTCTTAAGCTAAGATTCTAGTTTAGATGTTCCAAGAGGTCTCTCAGACGGCCCAAGAAGGCCCCAAGACCCCCCAAGATTGCCTCCATTGGCTCAAGTCGCCCAGGAGGCCCCCAAGACGCTCCAAAAAGGTCCAATGGGACTCCGAGAGGGCCTCAGAGGGATGAAGCATGGCTTGCAAAGGGGTTCCTCGGGGTTCCCCAGCTTTGTTTCCTTGCGATGGCCTTATGTTCTCAGTTTTGTTCCTTCTTCGGGTTTCCCGGTCTTGTTTGTCGGGTTCCCCAGTCTTGGGGGTGCGTGCACATTAATGACTTAGCGGATTTTGGGATGTCGGTCTCATCACCTCATCGTGTCACTCAGTAGTCGTCTGGGCTCCAGAGTTTTCGCCGCATGCAGGGTGTGGCGGGAGCGTTCCTCGCCTTCCTAACCTTCGTGGTGCGGGACCATTTCGCGCGGCGGCCGCCCTGGGACGGCGGCGACGCCGACTGGTGCCGCTCGGAGGCTCTGGCACCGCCTCCCGCCCCGCCTGCGCGGGACGACGCTGTCTGCCCTGTGAGCTGGGTCCACCCTGGCATCGTGGAGGAGATCGCGCAGCAGCTCGCCGCTGATCGCTGCGTGTGCGAGGTTCAGTGCAACAGCGGGGCGAGGGACTTCGCCCTGTTCGCGGGCGGCGTGGGCTTCTTCGGCTTCGGGCAGTTCATCTACTGGGTGACCTTCTTCGGCAAGTGCTACTGCTGTCGGCGGGATGGCGCTCGTGCTGGCGCCGCGGGCCGTGCGCCTCGGGGCCACAGGCGAGCGTCTTACGGTGCGGGAGTTCTTGAATGAGCTCCTCCCTGGCCGCCTCGTGGCGGTCAGATACCCAGGAGAGGACCTCTACCACGAGAGGGTGGTCCTCGGCCCGTGCGCTCGCGACCCACTCGGCCGAGTGAGTCGCTGGGAGGTGCTGACGCCCGACCACGACAAATACGACGAAGACATGACCATGGAGGGCGACGAAGGCGAGGCCATCGTCCTCCTGGACGACATGGGGAATTGTCCAGCTGGCCTGCGAGGTAAATTTTACCGCTTTGCTGGAGACCGCTATCCAAGCAGCCAGCAGATCGTGGACTGGGCCAGGGCCCAGGTCGAGCAGATCAGGGCCGCTGGTGAGGAGCCGCTGTCGATGACTCACTACATCGACCACGCGGGCTCTCGCAAGGCGCTGGCTGGCGTGGGCAGGCGGCTCCGCCTGTGCGCTCCCGCGCCCTTGCCTGCGGGGGGGCCCGAGGCCCCTGGAGGCGCGGCCGCCGCTGGCCGCCTCGCGGCCGTGGACGGCGACGCCGACGGCGCTGGGGCTCCCGCGGGGCCCGCTGGCGCGGTCGGCCTGGGCGCTGTGCGCGACGCTACCGAGGACCCCTTCGGCCCCCTGCGTGCGCGCGAGGAGCCCGCCGAGGGTCGTGTCTGGATTGTGTGCGAGAACTCCGACGAGCACGAGACCCTCGGGCTGGAGGTCACGTTGAGGCCTGGCGACATCGCCATCACCAGCCACGACGGGTTGGTGCATCGGCACGGCGGGTTCTTGAGGATTCGCTCGGTGCTGTCCAGCGAGTGCGTCGACTTCGTTGCCCGCCTAAAGGCTCGCTACAAGTCGACTGCTGCTGAGCCGCCTGCTGGGGCCTTGGCGATCGGCGGCGCGAAGACTCCCCCCCGTCGAGGTCGACGACGACGTCAGGACCTTGTGGGTCGACTACGACGAGTCTGGGAACCGTTTCAAGTCCTTCAAGAGGGCCGTGCAGGAGAGCCGCGAGGAGCCCATCACGGCCGTGGAGGTGCAGGGCCCGCCTGGCACGCTCCACCTCGCTCGGTTCATCAAGCGGTACGGCGGGGACCCGCGGCGCTGGTGGCAGGGCTTCGCGCGGGGCCACGGCATCAGCAAGACGGACAGGGTCTACCACGAGATGGCGAACCTCACGGAGAGCCTGAAGTTGTTCGGCGAATACGACCAGCTCAACTTGGGTGCCTCCGCGGGCATCGAGAAGCTGACGAGACGCATCTGCGGGGTGATCGACGCCTGCGCGACAGGCGGGGGGGTCCCCAGCTGGAAGATGGCAGGCGTCTACGAGGGCGAGGCCAACTCGATCGACGCCATTGCCCCCGCCTTGCGCAAGTGGGGCCTGACGAAGGTGAAGGACCATAACGAGCTGGAGCAGGCTCGTTTGCGCCATCCGCGGCCCGCGGAAGGCGCCGACCCGAGCGCCGCCCTGTCGGGCGCTGCGGGCCGTGGTGACGGCGGCCGTGGCCGCGGTGCTGGGGCAGGACGGGGGGGCCGCGGCAGAGGCGATGCGGCCGCCCCTGATGGCGGGTGACCTAGACGACGGGTCGCGGATTGGCCCCCCATGCCGCGGCCCGCTGAGAGTGGGGGATTTTCGGGCGGGAGGACGCCCCAAGCTTTTTGACCAGTTCCCGATCGCGCTGCCGCCTTTGGAGTCTGCGCCGACTTCGGGAGGGCGTCGGTCGAAGCGATACCGCAGACGTGACCACGTGCGGCAACTCGTCGAGGGCGCTTCGAATGCACTTAATTGGCTTGCTAAGACCGATGACTACCGACTTCCTGATCTCCGCGGGCGGCCTCAACATGTTTCGGAGCTCGGCCAGTGCCAGGTGACCCGCGAGCGTGACGAGGTGCTGTCCTACGTGGAGCAGTTGGCTGCGCTCCAGGTGCGCGACGGTGGCCATGAGTACTACTTGCCGCCAGAAGTGGCCCTTCGGGAGCTGCTCTGTGACAAGGCGTCTGGCTACATGATGGACGCCTCTATGACTACGCTCGCGCCGTACCAGCGAGGTCGGGTCTCCCTGCCTGAGAAGCGAGATGCGGTGTCGTCCGTCTTCGACCTGGTGGGGGATCGTGGCCGTGCATACCTGGAGGGTGCAGGAGAGCGCATGCTCGATCCCAGTGCTAGTGGCACGTTGGCTGGCGATGCTGATCGATGTTATGTTGATCCCCAGCTCGCCAGCAACCCGAAGCTCTACGCCCGCTTCGTGCGCGACCTGAAGGCCAGGAACATGCTAGTCTTCGGCAAGTGGGCGCATGAGCGCACAGGACTTTTCTTCGTTCGAAAAAAGAGTGGGAAGCTCCGACTTATCCTCGACGCGCGGCGGACCAATCGGTGGTTTCGACCGCCGCCGCGCGTCGACCTTTTGACGGCCGAGGGCTTAGGCCGTATAGAGGTCGAGCTTCCCGACGACCAAGACTTTTCATCTCTCTACTGTGGCACAGCTGACGTGCAGGACGCGTTCCACAGGATGGGCATACCAATGTGGCTGTCTCGCTGGTTCGGCCTGCCCCGTGTGCGAGCTCGAGACGTGGGGCTGACTTCCTGCGAGGGCGGCCCCCTCGCGCCCGACGACTGGGTCACGCCGATGCCGAGCTGCCTCCCCATGGGCTTCGCCTGGGGCCTCTTTTTCGCCCAGGACATCGACGAGGAGGCCGCCAGCCAGGTTCTTCCTCGAGCCGAGCTGCTACGCGACCGTGGCCAGCCGCTCGTGCTCTCGCTGCGGGGCGCGGGCGCCACTGCGACGCGCCACTACATCTACGTGGACAACATCGGGGTGTTCGGCGCCGACGGCCGCATCGTGGCCTCGAAGCTCGAGGACGTGGTCTCGGCGTTCGAGTCTCGCGGCCTGGCGGTGCACGAGGTCGGCGTCTCCGACGAGGGGGTGGAGGCGCTGGGCGTTCTGCTGGACGGCCGCAGGCGGCACACCCGCCTCACCGCCAAGCGCTTCTGGAGGGTGCGAGGGGCCATCCTGGCTCTCACCAGCCGCCGGCGGGTGACGGGGCAGCAGGTGGAGGCCATCCTCGGCCACGCCACCTTCTGCGGCCTGCTGCGGCGCGAGACGCTGTCGGTGTTCACCACCGTCTACCCTTTCATCAGGGCTCACTACGACCAGCCCGTCGCCCTCTGGCCGTCGGCCGCGGACGAGCTACGCGCGTTCGCTGGGCTCATGGTCCTGCTCGTGTCCGACTGGGAGGCGGACTGGCACCCCATGATCGTGGCCTCGGACGCCTCCGAGTGGGGCTACGGGCTTTGCAGCCGCTGGGTTGGTGCCGACGAGGCTGCGGCAGTGGGTCGTGTTCGTGAACGCGATCGCTACCTCGACCCCGACCACGTCGCCGCTCGGGCCGCCGCTCTTGGAGAGGCCCAGTCGGCGACCTCTGTACCTGCCGAGCCTGCCGACCTGTGGGGCGCCTGCGGGACGAGCGGCCTGATGGCCGACCCCACCTTTGCGGAGGTGCCCTCGCCCATGCTGGAGAGCACGTCTTGGAGGACCATCGGCGGCTGGCCGTTCTCGGGCGAGGAGGACATCTTGGTGCTGGAGGCTCGGGCGCTGCTCCGCGGGCTCGAGCGCGTGACCCGCGCACGTTTTGGCCGCAACATTCGCCAGGTTCTTTTTGCCGACAATCTCGGCCTGGTGCTCTCAGTGGGCAGGTGGAGGTGTCGGAACTTCAAAGTTCTCGTCATCCTGAGGAGGATGGCCGCGTGGTGTCTCAGCCGCAACGTTCGTCTCTCGGTTCGGTGGGTGCCGTCCGAAAAGAATCCTGTTGATGCCCCGTCCCGTCTCTTTCAGCCCAAGTCTCATTTTTTGTCAAAGGAGGTTGATGGAAAAAACCACCCCGATCCGATAGGGCACGCCCCCCATGACGGTTTTCCGCCTGTTGCTGCGAGCCCCTCTCGGGTGGATTCGCTTGGGACGTCCTCTTCCGCTGGCTCTCGCCTCGGTCCTTCTTCCGTAGCCGTTTTGGCTCAACCTGACTTACATGATTCATCCGAAACCGACTCCATCCAAGAGCACCCGCACTTTGGTTCCTCTCAGCCTCGCAGCGATGTCGCACTGGCGGATCCTGTGAGGAAGCGTCGGCTCCCGTCGGCGGAGGTCGCATCCGTCTCACGGCCGCGCACTTCCCGTGTTCCGTGGGCGAACGGCGAGGCGGGGGCCAGGGCGCTGAAGCGGCGGCGGGCCTTTGGGAGATCTCGGACGATGAGGTCGTGCAGCTGCTGTCGGAGCTGCGGCGCCGCCAACAGCGTGGACTGGACACGGAGGCTCCCTCGAGCTCGGAGAGCGAGCCCGAGGCCGAGCCAGGGCCAGGTACGACCATTCGTACTCGTACGCCTCCGCCGCGGGCCAAGAAGGCCCTCGAGACCCTCCTGTCGGCCAGGGCGCTGCCAGACTTCGCCCACCTCACGGCGGGAGAACACGCCGCCGTGAGGCCGAGGACGGAGGCCCAGCACGCCCAAGAGGTGGCTGCGTTCAGGACGTTCGCGAATGCCGAGAAGCTGACCAGCATCCCGATCACGGACCTGGACGACCTGCTGGTGAGCTACATGGACCAGCAGATCCGTCGGGGCGTCTCGGCTGCTCGCGGGATGAAGCTGATCGCTGGCGTGGTTCCGGCCAGCTGAGAGTGGGCAAGAACGGACCCCACACCTTGTCACGCAGCTGGAGGGCGCTCAAGGGCTGGCAGAACCTCTGCCCGTCCACATCTCGTTTGCCCGAGGCGTGGCCCATCTGGTGTGCCATCGTGAACGGGCTGGTGCTGCTGGGCCGCTTCGACATGGCGCTGTTCATCTGCCTGATGTGGAGCACCTACGCCAGGCCCATCCAGCTGATGGCCCTGAAGCCCGAGTACCTGTACCCGCCGTCGCGGGTGTCGACCTTCTGGGCGGTCCAGCTCAACCCCGAGCCCGAGGGGGCCCCGTCCAAGGCGAAGGAGTTCGACGTGACTATCGAGCTCGACCACGCCTGGTGGTCCCGCCTCGCTCCGATGCTCACGACGCTGAAGAGCTTGCCTGCGGGCCGTCGGGTGTGGTCGTTCACCTACCCGAAGCTGGCGGCGACAGTGGCGAAAGTCGCCAAGGACCTCGGCTTCGACCTGGTGGTGTACCAGGCTCGGCACAGCGGCGCCAGCGCGGACATGGCGTCCCGCAGGCGTACCCTGGTCGAGGTCAAGAAGAGGGGCGGCTGGAAAGCCGATCGGTCGGTGGTGCGGTACGAGAAGGGAGCTCGCCTGGCCAGCACTTGGGCCCGCCACCCGGCCTGGCGCCAGAGCCACGCCGAGCGGTGCGAGGAGAGATTCGTGGAGATCTTGCTGCACGGCCTCACGGTGCCTAGGCCCGCTTCCACCTCCCGTTAGGGGAGCGTCGTCTCTTCGTGCTGATGGTCGGCGACGCTTTCCTGCAGCCGCACCATGTCACGCGGCAGGGTTTCTTGACCAGGAGCCTGGCCGAGCGGGATCTGTCGCTTGGGTCCTTGCTCGCGCTGCGCCGTGATTTTCAGGAGTCGCGCATTGCTGCCTTGTTTGTCTCAGTAACCGATTCGGACACGATAGTGCGAGCTCGTTCGTTGATCGCCCTTGCTGTAAAGTTGAGGCTCCCAGTTATGAATGTGTGCCGTGCTAAGCTAAGTTTAGACGTCGGCGGAGCGTTTAACGAATTAGAGGGTGCTCTCTGTCAGGTTTCGCACATGTGCAGATATGGAGGTCGTGGCAGATTTCCGATTGTCTCGTGCATTTTCAATATACAGTCTGCCGACTGTTCTCGCCTAGGCCTCGCGTGCCCTGGCAAGCGTTCCCGTGACAGCCACCAGCCCCACCTCTTTTCGCTTCGCCCCGCCCACCAGATCCCAAAGAGGTTCCAGAGAGCCCTGGCGTTCACGCTGTTAGCTGTCCCTTGTGCTCTGTACTTATCAGTGTGAGAACAGAACCTGTTTTGGGTTTTCTGATTCGGGATGATGTGTGAAGTTTAACTGCGGAGTTCGAACTCCGCTCTGTCTTCCCATCTCGGATCCGAGTCGCTTAGACCAGCGAGTGCAGTAGAGAGAAGTAATCACCGCTAAAAAATATGCATGTAAGTCATGGGGGGTGCGTGCACATTAATGACTTAGCGGATTTTGGGATGTCGGTCTCATCACCTCATCGTGTCACTCAGTAGTCGTCTGGGCTCCCCTCCCGCCCAACCCCTTTTGGAGAGGAGCGGTACATGCCTGGATGATGTGTGAAGTTTAATTGCGGAGTTCGAACTCCGCTCTGTCTTCCCATCTCGGATCCGAGTCGCTTAGACCAGCGAGTGCAGTAGAGAGAAGTAATCACCGCTTAAAAATATGCATGTAAGTCATGTTCTTTGCTTCGGTTCCTCGGTTCACCTGGTCTTGTTCCTTGCGAGGGTTCCTCGGGGTTCATGGTTCAGTTCCTGGGGTTCCTCGGGTTCCCTGGTCTTGTTCTTTGCTTCGGTACCTCAAGGTCCCTGGTCTTGTTCGACGGGTTCCCCGGCATTGCAATGCAATCCCAAGTAATGCCAAGCAACGCCAAGCAATCTTGAGCAATGCCAGTCCATTCAAAATGTTGCAAAGCAGCGCCAAGCAGTGCCAAACAAAGCCAATTGATGCCAAGCAGTGCCAAGCAACGCCAAGCAATGCCAAGCAATGCCATGCACAGCGCCCATGCAAGAGGAAGCTTTTCCCAAATAAGCCTCTCGCCGAATCCATTTTATGTTTCCGATGACGCCCCCGCGTGGAATTCAGAGGTCGGCGGAGGGTATCCAAAAGTGATGGAGTCCTTTCTGTAGAAACAGTTTGGCCCGCTCCTCCCCTGCCTCCCAGAAAAAGCCATCCGAGCATTTGTGTGTTGTTGCCGCTGTCTTCGGAACACATTGGCACGACGTCATGGCCAGCATGGTTGAAACATATCCAGGACGTTTTGGAGCAATCCATCGCGTGCTTCAGCTGATGACCGCGGCCCTTCGATGGCAGTTACCCAGAGAAAAAGCGAGCGAGAGATCCTCCTCCTCCGCCTCCTCCTCCGCCTCCTCCTCCTCCTCCTCCTCCTCCTCCCTCCTTCTCCTCCGAGGGAGAGGGAGAGATAGAGAGAAAGAGAGAGCTCGCCGCACTGTTTTGCACGGTACTGGCCTCGCCGTCTCGGTGCGGGTCGCTGGGGCGGCCTCTCGGGGGGCTTCTCGACCGTTTGGTGGATTTCGGGGAGGAGGTCTCCTGTGGCCCGCTCGCTGGCGGCCTCTTGGGGATGGCTTGCGGGGGTTATTGGGAGCCTCC